ATTCTTACGATCGTCCAGCCAACATCGCACATAAGATCATCCCGTTGATCAAACACGTGCGATGCGTACAAATCCCGATCATCTGGTACCATGCGGGCCACATGCGCGCGCCCCCCCGCGCGCGCATGTCAAATCATTCGAACACCACGCGCTGCCTTACAATTCCAAACCATATCTGGTGAACAACTCGCAAAACCGCCTGTTCTTGCAGCGACACGTAACACATGTTCTGCAGGCCAACTCAACGAAATCATGGCAACACTCTTTTGTTATGGCCATCCTGTCAAAATTTACCATGCGGGCCACATGCGCGCATATGGAGAAAACATCCAACAATCATCGCGCACCCTCCATTTCTGCTGCACATTGCGGCAATCTTCTTTCGCTGGTTCGGACCTTGTTGGGAACGAAATTCCAAATCAGATGTTCGAAGAAACACTGAGCGAAACGTCAACTTACCTATAGTTTAGAACCGACTTCGCACCGGGTTTCAAGTCGTCATCTGGAGACGAATTCCGAACGAAACGCTCGGATTATTGTTGTTTCGAACCGACTTCGAAGCGGGTTCCAAATAATGATTTCGAAGAAAATCCTGCACAAACGGTCGGTTGTCTACTATTTCGATTCGACTTCGAACCGGGCGGCAAATCATCTTCTCGAGGGTCTTCTGAACGAGACGCTCGATTTTGTATTGCTTCGAACCAAGCTCGAACCGGGCGTCCTATCGAGGAAGTCTCGTACGAAACGATCACCTTTCTACTGTCCCGAGCCGAATTCTATGGTTTCGAACCCGGCTCGATTTTTTTGTGCGAGGCAATTCCGCGCGGTTCACCGTTTTCGAACCGTCATCCTGCTTTGCCTTATCCGCCACCGTGCCCTGAGGTACGAGTTAGAGTGTCCTCAGGTCCATGGCCTAATCCTTTAAGCCTCAGTCCTCAATCCTGAAGATTCTGCAAGGGGCCCGGACCTCAAATTCGTAAGTCTCCCGGGGTTTCTCTCATGTCCCCCGAACCCCGGCGCGTCTTGTCGCATGACTTTTTCGGGCCAAAGAGGGCCCCAAGACGGGCCAAGAGCGGCCCAAGAGGCCCCCAAGACGGTCCAAGATGGCCCCGACTCGCCGAGTGGTCGGTCCAAGACGCCCAAGATGGTCTGAAGACGGCTGAAGAAGCGCCCAAGATGCCCCAAGAGAGGCCCAAGAGGCCTCCCAAGGGGGCCCCAAAATGCAAACATCGTCCAAAGAAAGCGTACATTTCAGTATCTACGACTTTTCGGCCTCACGGCGTTCAAGACAGGCCGAAAGGCCCCCAAGATCGCCCCTACAGGTCCCCACGACGGCCTAAGAGGCGCCCCAGACGGCCCAAAAGAGCCCCAAGACGGCCCCAAATGTAGCCTGAGAGGGGGAGCCCGAACCGACAATTCGAGCTTTCCGCCCCAAGATAACCCCAGGCGGCCTCCCAGGCCCCCCCCTCCCCCCGAAAAAGCCCCCCCCCACCCCCCCCCCAAACGCCCCCCCAGATGCCTCAAAACTGCCTCCAAGAGGCTTCCCACGACATCCCAACGAACATCCAGGAGGCCCATGACCCACAAACCAGACGCGGTGGTCTTGCCGCAGGGGTGCCTGGCGTGCTGAACTTCTTACGGTTTGGTTTTGGGTCCTTTTCCTAAAAAACTCTCCCCTGGGGCGTCGGCCCGTCCCGCTGGCCACGCGGAACGGCGCACAACTCGCAGAAACAAAATTCCGATCGCCTCCAAGACGGCCTCCAAGACGCCTCAGATGGCTCAAGATGGCCTCCAAGTTCGCCCAAAGAAGGTCCAAAGATGCCCCCAAGTCCGCCCAAGACGCCTCCCAGACGGCCCAAGAGGGCCACAATATGACGACAGACGGCTCAAGAGGCCAACAAGAGGCCTCCAAGACGACCCAAAAGGCCCCCAAGAGGGCCTCCAGGAAGGCACGAACAGGCCAACATCGTTGATTTTTTCTTTGGTGTTTGGAAGATTTTGGCGTTTACTCCATTTCGGCCTTCCGACGGCCCGAGACGGCCCAAGAGGCCCCCAAGATCGCCCAAGAGGCCTCCAAGATGGCCCCAGAACGGCCCAAGATGACCCCAAGACGGCATCCAGGACGCCCAAAATGGCCTCCAAGACGGCCCCAAGTCGACCGAGAGAGGCCCCCAAAACGGCTTCCGACGGCGTCAGACGGGCCAGGAGCGCACCAAAATGGCCAACAGTGGCTCCAAGATGGCCCAAGACGGCCCAAGAGGCCCCCAAGAGGGCCTCCAGGAAGGCCCCAAGAGGCCAGAATCATTGAGCACCATTGGGTTTTCAAAGGATTTTGGTATATGCTTCTTTTCGGTCCTCCGACGGCCCAAGGCGGCCAAGAGCCCCCAAAGATCGCCCAATAAGCCTCCAAGATGGCCGCAGAACCGCCCAAGAGGCATCCAAGACGGGTCAAGAGGGCCTCAAGAGGGCCCAAGAGGCTTCCAAGACGCCCAAGATGGCCTCTAAGACTGCCCTGGGGCACCCCAAGAGGGCCCCAAGTCGGCCCAAAGAGGCCCCCAAGATGGCTACCGACGGCGTCAGACGGGCCAGCCGTAAGACTGCGAAAGAGGCCCGAGAAGCCCCCAAAGGCACCCAAGAGGCCCAAGGAGGCCCCAAAGATGCTTCCACGAGGCCTCCAGGAAGCCCCCAGAAGGTCCCAAGAGTGCCCCCGGAAGTTCCCTAGATGCCCCCCCTCCTCCTCCTCCTCCTCCTCCTCCTCCTGATCTTCCCCGCTATCCCCCCCCGTGTTCCCGAAAGGTTCCCACAGCGGCTGGGGGAACAAATGGTCCGATAGCTCAACGCTCGGCCAAGTGGGCGATTCCAGAAGGCAGGGGGCGGCGGTGATTCGCCGTAGGCGTCTTCGGTACTTACCCGAGACTTGCCCACACCCATTCTCCACGCGAGGCGAATATTTGCATTAACGCTCCATGCAAAATAACACATCGCCAAGTATGCACGATCTGCGTTGCCCTGCACTCCGCCGTGCCTCCCAAGAACCCACAGCAACGGCGACACTTTCGCACTTCGCAGCCCCCCCCCAGGGAGCTGCGAGGTCGTGGCTGGGTCTGCGTAGATATCCACCCCGCTGAATCTCCCAATAATCCACGACAGTGGCGACACTTTCGCACTTCGTAACCCCCACAGGGAACTGCGAAATCTTGGCCAGGTCTGCGTAGATCTCCACACCACTGAATCTCCCAAGAACCCACGAAAATGGCAACAAATTCGCACTTCGTAGCCGCCCCTAGGGGGCCGCGAAATCTCGGCTGGGTCTGCATACATCCCAACTCCGCCGTGCCTTCAAGAATAGACGAAACTGGAGACAATTTCGCACTTCGCAGCCCCCCAAATAGCAGCGAAATCTCGGCTGGGTCTGAGCTCTCCCCCACCCCGCCGTGCCTCCCAAGAGCCCATGTCAAGCTCGCACTTCGCAACGCCCCAAGGAGCCGCGAGGTCTCGGCTGGGACTGCGTGCTTCCCCACTCCGCCGTGCCTCTCAAGAGTCCGCGAAAATGGTGTCCAAGGAGCCGCGAGGTCTCGGCTGGGTCTGCGTGCCCCCCCCCCCACTCCGCCGTGCCTCCCAGGAGCCAACGAAAATGGTGTCAATGTGGCACTTCGCAACGCCCCAAGGAGCCGCGCGGTCTCGGCTGGGTCTGCGCACCCCCCACTTCGCCGTGCCGCCCAAGAACCCACGAAAATGGCGGCAACCTCGCATTTCGCAACCCCTCCAATGAGCCGCGAGGTCTCGGTTGGGTATGCGTACGTACCATCATCATCGCCGATGACGTCGCCATCGTCATCATCGCCACCGCCATCGCCACCGCCATCACCATCACCATTTCCATACTCATGTAAATTATCATTACCACTCCAGTACCATCACCATCACCATCACCATCACCATCACCATCACCATCATCATCATCATCATCATCATCATCATCATCATCATCATCATCATCATCATCATCATCCTCATCCTCATCCTCATCCTCATCCTCATCCTCATCCTCATCCTCATCCTCATCCTCATCCTCATCCTCCTCCTCATCATCATCACCAGCATACTCATCATCATCACCACCATCATCATCAGCATCTGCATCAACATCATACTCATCAGCATCATCATCATCAGCATCGACACCACCACCATCATCATCGTCACCATCACAACCAGCACCATCACCCTCATCATCATCCCCATCAGCATCTTCATCGTCTTCACCATCGCCTTCTTAATCTCCATCACCATCATCTTCACCAGCACCACCAGCACCATCATCACCATCATCATCATCATCATCATCATCATCGTCATCATCATAATCATCATCATCATCGTCATCGCCATCGTCATCGACATCATCGTCATCACCATCACAATCGTCACCACCATCACCATCACCATCATCATCGTCATCATCATCGTCATCATCATTCTAACCATAGTTACCATCATCATCACCATCATCACCATCATCACCATCATCATCATCATCATCATCATCATCAGCATCATCAGCATCATCAGCATCAGCATCAACATCGCTGAAATCGTCGTCACCATCATCACTCGCCCGCCCGAGTCAGGGCTCTGCATGAGCAGGGTCCGCGCGTCAATGTGCCACCTGAGATTCGCGTGCAAATTTCGACGAGTAGGAAGGTTCACGGCCCTCATGAGGTTGCCAAGAATTTGCGGGTGGGTTGGGCTATCTGCTTGAGCATGGGTGGCTGCCACGCGCGGATGTCCATACTTCATTGACCTAATATATTGTATCCTACATGACCCATCCCATGTATGCACCTCAACGATTGCGCCACATAGATCGCGCCCAACATATTGCACTGCATAGACTGCACCGCGCAGCTTGCACCACGTGGAGTGCGCGTTGACAGTGCAATAGCCCACTGATCGGGACCCACGTTGGCAAGCATAGGCTCATATTTATTTCTTCGATCCTCGCTGGCTGGGTCCGAGAACTTGCAGTCCAGCTCCTCCGCGCTCCAGCCTAAATGGCGGGCGAACAAGGCCTTCCGCAGGCCCGCTGCCAGGCCGGCCGGTCTCTGCGCGGAATGGCCGGCGTCACGGAGCACCACGCAAACCTCCGAGTCCCTGGTCCCGAGCAACGACCTGTCGTTCACGTTCGCGCTACCCACGACCGCGACCCTGTCGTCGACGACCATCACCTTGGAGTGCACGTAGACCTCCTCCGTGACTGGGGGCTCGTTGTCCACCAACTTCTCGTGCGTCCTGAGGCCGTACACGGCGAGGACGGACGGGACGTCCACGCCAGCGTCACGCAGGCTCTGCCGCAGGACCCGGAAAGTTCGGTACTGCCAGTGCATGACGTTCTGGCAGTGCGACGGGGTGCTGGCGGAGATGGGGCCTTCCAGCGCGGGCAGGAGCGGCAACACGATCATGACGTGGAATCTGTCGTTCTTCTCGTGGGCCTTCACGATGCGGCGGTAGATGGCCTCCGCCACGCGGTTGCCGATCATATCGTCGCCGTCCAGGCCCGAGCAGAAGAACTGGTTCTCGATGTACACGAAGCGCTCGGCGCCCTGGATCAAGTCGCAGTACGCGGCGTGCGCGGAGGACTCAGCCCGCGTGCCGGCGCTCCAGCGCCCCACGGAGCGCACCACCTGGGCGGTGCACTCGTGCCACTGCCCACACGCTTCTGGCCAGCAAGTGTCGCCCGCTTCCGACACGAGATCCACCAGCTTGTCGTTGCACACCGCGACCTTGCGGTGGAGCAGTGCTGTCGGCAAGCCTGCGTACTGTGGGCTCATGGACTTGGCGTGGTTCCACCGCTCGATGCAGTGACGGGCCACGTCCCGGGCGGGCCGTCCCAGCAGGGCACACTGCACGTCTTGCCAGGGCATGCGGGGCTGGTGGCAGCGGTCCAAGGTGTCCCTGGCGCCGGCGCTGCGGACGTTGACGAAATCCTTGATGCGTGGGTTCGAATAGTCTTGGCCGTCCCAAATCTGATTACCAACGTCCCGAAGCCGGTACCGCGCGTCGTCGTAGCGTCCTAGGCACAGATCGATGCCTCCAAGGAAGGCTAACTGCTGGTCCACCACTACCACTTTCTCGTGGTGCGACCAAAGCCGATTGATGTCGAAGCGGCTCCTGTGGCGCACGACGGAGACGTTGCGGTGCAGCAGCTCTGCCTCCGCCCACTCCGAGTCGTTCGGGACGATTCCGCCTGTCTCGTGATAGAGGAGCACGAATACCCTGACGCCGCGGTTGGCCGCGCCGCGCAGCAGCCTGGAGAGTCGAGGGTCGGCCCCGCCAGGCAGCGGCTCACCCTCCCGAACCAGCGGCAAGTGCGGCGTGACGAACCAACCCAACACGAAGATCTCGTGCTCGGCGAGAAGGATGGCCTCCGCGATCTTGCGGAAGGACGCGGAGCCCCCCACCAAGTACCTCGCCTTGCTCAGCCGCAGCGTGTGTCGGTCGCCCTTCTTGGACTCCGCGGGCTGCCTCACTGGAGCAAAAGAGCCGAACCGCTGCTCCTGAGGGGCAGCGATAAAGGGGAGGACTTGCTCAGGGGGGAAAACATCGAGTTGGAGCCGGCGACACATCGCTCATAGATCAGCGATAGGCCCCCGATAGCGAATCCAAGCGGCCCTGGGCTGGGTGGAGCTATCGTGCCCCTATCGGCGATGAATGGGCGATTTGGGGTTGGTGCATCCCCCCCCTGAGCCCACCCCTGCACGGGAATCCTTGTCGTCCAGTTTTCGGGCCATAGCTCGGGTCCCGGGCGGCCGCTCGGGACGATCCAGGCACCCCGTGAACGCTCTCGGCGAAGCGAAACTGCTGGACGGCACCCCGAGGCTGGAGACGCCGAGAACCAACGAAGACGCCCGAAATCCTCGAACATCGAAGTCGAACCTGAGCCTACCCCCCGAACGTTGCCCCTGCGCTCCTTCGTGCGGGGCGACAGCTGGGCGGCGAGGGTCACGGCGCTGCACCAGCTCTGGCAGCTCCGCCGGCGCGCCGCCTGGCGCCCGCCGAACTCGAGCTCCAGCACCCACGAGGCCCCACAGACCAGCACGCGGTCCTCTGGGGAGGAAGTCCCGATACCGCAACTCCCCGATACCGCGAGTCGGGGGGTTCGACCTGGGCGCCGCGCCGCTGTGCAGCTCGCGCCGTGGCGGCCACTGCAGGCCCTCCCACGCTTGGGAAATGGCTTACAGCGAGGAGGAGGAGGAGGAGGAGAAAGAGGAGGAGGAGGAGGAGAAAGAGGAGGAGGAGGAGGAGGAGGAGGAGGAGGAGGAGAAAGAGGAGGAGGAGGAGGAGGAGGAGGAGGAGAGGAGGAGGAGGAGAAAGAGGAGGAGGAGGAGGAGAGGAGGAGGAGGAGGAGGAGGAGAAGGAGAGATCCGTAGCCATTTTGGCTCAAGCCATTTTGGCTCAAGTCCGTGGCCATTGTCAAGGTGGTTGGACAGTGAACCCGAATTTGGACCAGGGTAGGAAGGCTCACGCCTCGCCCTGGCCTGTGCAGTTTTCTTTCTCGCGCGACACCCAGACCAGCTGGCCCAAGCAGGCAGGCGCCTGCTCTCGAACCATCCAGAATAGCTCTATCATGCCTGTCACATGGCGTTGCGGGAAGTGCAGCAGAGAAGTGCCCATGAGGCACTGGCAGTGCTTGTGTGGCTACAAGTGGCCGTACTGGACCGATCACGCGCAACGAGATCCGCCAGGTGGTGGATTCAGTTCCTACGGCGTCCAAGGCGGTGGCGGAGGCCCACTCCCAAATTTCAGCAGCCACCTCCCAGCAGAGCGCAGCAAGAAGCTTACAAAAACGACGTGAACCACCACATCGAGGTACTGGCGACACTGGTAGTGGCGACACGGAGGTCAGGTGCAGAACATCAGCCTTCATTAAAACACATTGCGGTCCTCATGTATGCGGTGGCAGCCTTGGACCCGATCAGTACCAGGCTGGCGCAAACAAAATACGAGATTGCGATGACCTCCGAACAGATAGAGAAGCTCGACCAGCGCATCGAGGAGCTCCAGACGCAGCGAGAGGAACTGGCACAGAAGGCCTCAGGGCTCATGGAGACCATGCAGGACTTGGAGGCCATGGAGGAGGAGGAGGAGAAGTTGCAGAAACAGCCAGAAGCGGCGGCACACAACGTTGCTCCTCCTCCTGCGAAACCAGCGGCGGCATCCCCTTTCTCGGCAACGCACAGCACGGCGACAGGACCAACGATTGCTACAGCCTGGCCGATCCCGCAGGCTCCCATGCAGAGCCCGTTCACTCCCCAGCAGCAGGCGATGATCCCCCCCCACCGAGATCCAGCAGCTCATGCAGATGTGGATGCAGCAGCAGGCGGCGCAGCAAGCCAAGGGAGTTGGCAAGGGCGGGACCTTCATGCCGTGGCTTTCTTCAGGACCGCCGCCGCCCACACAGATGCCCCATCGTCCATCGGCGAGCCCGAGTGCGAAGAGGGAGGGAGCAGTTCACCCAGCCAGCGAGCAGGTCAAGCAGCAGCAGGGCGAGGGCGACAAAATGGTGGACGTGGACTTCAACGGCTTGATCGGCAACGGTACCCCGACCCCATAGCCAGCAACAACTGCGGCATCAACAACCTCTTCTTCAGCCGGGGGGATCCTGACAGCGCAGCAGATCACGGAACTCCAGCAGACGAACATCATGCAGCCCATAATGGTCTCCCAGGCCGATCCGTCGCAGGCCCTATATCAGCGCGGCGCCATCTGGGGACCCACGCAAATGTGGAGCCACCCGAGCCACCAGCAGCAGGCGGTCACGCCGAGCTCGCAGGCAGAGGCAGTGGCCATCGTGGATCCAGCGCAGTTGGCTCCAACGCAGCCAGCATCCCAGCAGGAGTTGATCCAGGGCCCGAAGGAGAGCCTCACGGACGACATTTGAACGACGATGCCATTTCACAGCTGGAAGAGGAAGACATGATGAAGGAAGACTCGATGCATGGGGCGTCGCCTTCCGTGTCGTCAACTCCTACGACAGCTTCAGTGAACGAGCCCGCACATTCATTTTTCCTGTCATCTCTTCAGTCGTTCTATGTTGGAGATGACCTAGGGATTGAGGTCAGCACCAACAGTCAGCTTGCATGGATCGCCAGCCTTTTGATTCAAAGGACCCTCGAGGCCACCGCCTTACGGGCAACGTTTTTCCTATCGTGGATTTATCAGGACATTCGGCCAAGGGATTTCGGCCCCCCTCCCCCAAAGCGGTCCAGTGGGAAGAAGAGTGTCCACTGGGGAGTTTCACACATGAGATATTTTCAGCCAGGTCATAGGGTAAGGCCGGGTAGGCTCGAGTTCAAAGACGACCAACGGACGTTAATTAAACAATCAGTGGAGTCTGTCTCGGAGCTGGGTCCCCAGTGCTCCTCAGGAGCTTCGTCTCCCTCCTCGATTGCACCCCCCCCACGAAGGCTCGACCCCAGGGATGTTGGAGGTTCGTATGTCGTCTTGGGACCCCCTCTTGGCCCCCCAACGTCCGCTCGAGAGAAAAACGATGCCCATCATCGCGCGCGCCAAGATGAGAACGGCATGACTGATCATAGCCAAGCGGAACAGCAGGACTGCGAGCAAGTTAGCGCGAGACGTCACTTGTGCTCTTTTGAAGCTTGCAAACCTATCCTTGATGTGCTTAGGTCCTCTCCCGCTCCTTTCCTCGAGCATGTGGCTAAGCAAGACATGGTTGAAGCAGGAGTGTTGGAGGATGTCCCTCGGATTGCGATTGACATAGCCCCACCCAGCCCCATCGCCCCATCTGCGTTTCACATTTACACTGATGGGTCCCACTATGCCCAAGGCACGCTCCGCGCGGCTTGGGCCTTCGTGGCCATAGCGGAAGGTGCGGAAGGTGTTTCTCTGTGGGGATGTTGGCGGCGAAAACCCGAGGAGTCCAACTCCATGGGGCATAACATAGAGGATTCGAACAGCACGACTTTGGAGCTCCTAGGACTGGTCTGGGCTGCGATGTGGGTCATCACGTGCCCGTTTGACGTTGATTTTTATGTCGTCAGCGACTCACTTAGTGCCATAGGAGCGGCTACTGGAAAGAGCTGCACACGATCTGACAGAGACCTTGCGAAACTTCTCACTCAAATTTGGGCCATAGCGTGCTTGCAGAAACGTGTTATTACTTCGCATGAACAAAAAACCACAATGGGCATCATTGGAGCATGCTTGCTGGCAATCTTGCGAAAGCGACAGCATGTGATAGCATCCCCCTTCCAATGTTGAGTATCCCCGAGCCTGGACGCAAGCGATGGTGTATGCACACAGTCGTGAGTGGGAGTGGCTTGAAGTTATGCAACGAGGAGGTAAGGAGGACGGAGGAGCGTACCCCCAGGTCTCCTTGGATAGCGAAGGAAACTACTCTGGTCTCCTTCCTTCTTCTCACGCTTTGCCCACCCCTCCTGACGCTCCTGGCAGGAAGCGCGGCAGGGGCCCCTCAATTCGTTTGCGAGCGGCGTCCTTCAACGCCCAGTCTCTCAGAGCCGAAGGCAGAAGAGGCACTGAGGGGGAACGACGTCGCGCCCGCTTGCTCCTCTTCCAGGACCAGATGTTGGAGGAAGGAGTTCACTTTATTGGAGTCCAGGAAGGGCGAAATGCCCAGGGAACCCGCCGCCAAGGCAATTACCTGTTTTTTTTTCTGCCGGCCGCGAAAAATATAATCTGGGGGTGGAGCTTTGGGTTAACATATGCACCCCTTACTGTGGGAAAGGGGATAGTGTATTGTATTTCAAGAAACAACGCATACAAATCCTTCACGCGATCCCCTGTATCATGTATGTGCAAGTGGTGGCGCCTGCCTTTCGGGCCATAGTTGCTGTTGCGCATGCTCCGCGCGCGGGGGCCTCTCCCACTGACTGCCGGGCTTTCTGGCGCGAGCTTACTGAGATAAATGCGCGGTGGCCGCCAGACTTTCTTTTCCTTGACGCCAATGCTCGATGAGGGTCGCGTCAGAGCAAGGCGGTGTCTTCCTGCGGACCAGCGACCGAAGAAGACAGAAATTGACGCCTCATGCATCAGACAATGCTGGAGAGCGACCTTTTGTTGCCAATACTTTTCGGTGTGCGCGGGATGGCAATGCTTATCGCGCGAGGGGCGGACCCCCTCCACAGGATCGACTATATTATTATCTCCCCCCATTGACTCCCAGCTCTTCAAGAGACGAAGGTGATGCATCATCTTGATCATCTCAGGGGGCATGATGATCATCTTCCTGTGGTTGCGTCGTTTGAGTGGCGCGCCATCGGCAATAGCAACCCCCCCTTGGTTGACAAGAACAAAATGAGCGACCCCCAAGCGTGCCGAGTTTTTGCGGCCCAACTCGAACAAGCTAGCCTGCCTTCTTGGGATTGTAACCTCAACCTTCGCTACTCTCAGGCGTTGGAAGTTTTCCGCGACAATTCCCGGGTGGCGTTCGGAAGAGCCAGAGTTCGACCAAGGAAACCTTATATTCCCCCCCCCCCGCACCTTTGTCTGGATCCGCGCTAGGAAGGGAATCGGAAAGACCCTGTACTTGATGCGAGCAAGTACCGCTCGAGGTGGGCTTTTGCCACCGACTGTGCAGCAGGCTGCGATAGAGACCAGTTCGCAGCAGGAGCACGGTACGCCTCCCCATCTCATAGGTAGAATGTTTCATCTCGCAGTGAGCCTCAATAAGGGAGCTATCGCCCGCGAGATCCAGCTAGGGCAGGCGGCGGAGGCCCACCTTCTCCTCTTTCATCCCCTTGCCCATGTCTGGCCTCCCTTGCAGTCGGCCTCTGCCCAGCTTGTCAACAGGCGAATAGACATGTTTGAATGTCGGCTGCACTTGGTGTCTTTTATTGCGAATACGCATGAGCACCTGCAGAAAACTTTAGATCACGACTTCAGGATTTTTTGATGCAGCATGAGCATGACACCAAAACCTCGATAGACGGTAGGATAGCAGAGCTGAGTGGAATCATGTCCGCGCGCTGTTGAGTTTTGGCGGGAAGCGTCACAGGGCCCCTCTCGTGGCCCCCATTAAGAGGACCCCCGCTGGAGCCATTGTCAGTACCCCGCAAGCAGACGCGGACGATATTCAGCAACATTTTGCGAAAGTAGAGTCAGGAGTTGAGATGTCCCGGGAGCAATTCCACGTGGACTACAACGCCAGTCAGCAAACCCTTGATCGAGAGGTGGCGCGCAAGATTGAACATATCGTCCCCAAAGCCGAGGTTGAGCTGTTGATTCGACGGGCCCCGAAGGGTAAGGCCCCTGGACCTGACGGGATCACGAACGGTCTCTTGCGCGCGGCCCCTAAGGAAGCCTCGCGGGTCCTTCGCGGGTCCTTCGCCCTCTCTGGGTCAAAATGGGCCACCTGGCCACGGAACCTGTTGAGTTAAGGCTCGGACAGGTGATTTCGTTTTACAAAGGGAAAAGCGATGCGATCATGGCTGCTTTTTACCGCAGCATTCTTCTCTCTAGTACCATCCTCAAGTTGTATCACTCTCATGTCCACTCCAAGGCTAAGAATATCATCTCTAGCAATCTTCGGGGCGAACAATGCGGCGGCCGCCCTGGTGTGGGGGCTGATTTCGCTTGCTTGTACGTGCGCGACAGATTGCACTACATTGCGTCCCAAACAAAGGCGGCCATTGTCTTTTTTCTTGACCTTGTCGCTGCGTTCTATACTGTGGCGAGGCAATTGGTCCTTGCCCTTCACCAGGAGTAAGAACAATTTCTTGCGGCGATATCTGACTTGCCGATCCCTCTGGCGTTCCGCGATGCGATCCTCCAGCTGGCGGAGGACCCAACCCTTGGCGCCCAGTTCGAGGGCCAACACCTGTTGGAGCTGGTCCGTGCTACCCAAGCTGGGTCGTGGTGGCAATTTCGAGGCTCGCAGTCCTTTGTGGTGCCGTCCCTGGGCACGAAGCCTGGCACTGTCTTCGCTTGCGACATCTTCAACGCTGCGTTTGCGCCTATCGTCCAAGGGATTCAAAGGGGCATGGAGCAACGCCAGCTGATGTCGGATTTGCCTGGATGTGTCGGTCCCTTCCTTGGAAGCGATGACGCCATTGCCCCCCTTGCCCCCTCCACGTATGTTGACGATAACACTGCGATTGGAGAGTGCGAAGATGCGAGCCTCGCCACTTGCGTTGCTGACAAAATGCTGGACATTGTGTATAAGCACGTCACTACCCACGGCCTTAGGATGAACGATACCAAAACTGTGGTGCTGATCATGCCTGCTGGGAATAATGCCCGACGCGCCCAGCAACATCTTTTCGGGGATAGCACGGGCGCTGGGGCTGAGGTTGTCTCAAGCGAACACGCGGTCAGGGTTCGCGTGGTTAGGACCTACAAGCTGCTCGGGACTTGCCTCGCGGATAAGATGAGTCTCAACGCGGAGATCACCCACCGCGTGAGCTCTGTATGAAAGCTGATCTTCGGCCCATCAGAACTAGTATAGCCCCGCGCAAGGCCCCCCTGTTAGTAGCAAGGTCCGCTATACCGATAGCACTGCTGGGTCTAAGCTGTTGTACACTACGGGCGTGTGGGAGCAGTTAACTAAAGGACAACTTAGGAGAATGAGCACCGCCCAGGCCGATATGTACCGCGCTGCGCTGGCTACGCCGCGTCACAAAGAAGGGCGACACCACCCGACGAGAGAAGTCCTAAACAATGCCCAGCGGGTCAGAATGGAGGTTGTTCTCAGGGTTGCCCGCCTCCGTTTGCTCCCTCGGGTTCTGTCCCTTGCCTCTTCTTCTCTCCTCCGTATCCTCGATCTTACCTCTACTGTCCCAGGTGCGTGGGCCCACGCCCTTATGTCGGACCTTCGTTGGCTTAACATGCATGTGAGGAAGCAATGTATCCCAGGGCAGGGGCAGGTTTCGGATTGGGTTAGCCAAGCTAGGCAAGCGCCCAAACAGTTCCTCGGAAAGGTCCGCAGGGCCGCCATCAGCGATCGAACTATGGAAAGCGAACATCACCTTGAGAAGCAGCATCATGAGATGATGGCCGACATGTTCAAAGGAAGACGAGTGGATTTCACTCTGAGCCAGCCGGTGGAGCCAGATGATAATTTAGTTCAGCAGTACTGTTGTTATGAATGCGGGTTTGTGTGCAACGTGTCGGCTGCTTTGCAGACCCACATTACGAAGACACACCGTAGTGCGAGTGACCCTGATATTTGGGCGGCGGGGACTATGTGCCAAATCTGCTTGACCGAGTTTCATTGCCGTGCTAGACTTGTGAAACATCTGAAGAGAGTGCCCAGGTGCGCCCATTCGTGGTGGCAAAGCGGGCGGGCCCTTGAGAACAACCCTGGAGAATGTCAGGAAGAGGATCGCCAGTTCCACAGAAAAAACAAACAAAAGGGCCAGCATGATAATTACGCCGGGAGCAGTGCCCACCGCTTTACCTATGGCCCCCCGTCGGTCCTCTGCTTCCCCCCCTGCCCGCGATCCCTTCCTCCCCGTCCTTTCTCAGATGCATTTGGATCAGGAAGGAGGCAATCTGGAGGAGCCGAGGAGTGTTTTGGCCTGTGGATATATCCCCACCGCTTTTGCCTTGCTTTGTCGTTCTTGGTGGGCATGATAGGGAGGAGTCCTTTCTCGAGCAGCAGGTCCGTATCCAGCAGAGCCTTCATGGGAATCAGGTGCAGATAGTCCGTACCAGGAACTCGCAAGAGGATAATATCCAACTTTGGGCTATACGTATCCTTGATGGGTCCGTTGTGGCGGTCATAAGTTCTCCCCCCGCTAAGACTTGGAACCCCGCTCGCACTGGATATGACGGGGGATCTCGCCTCCCCCCGTTGCGGTCCGTTACCTCCCCATTGGGCCTGGGCACCCTCAGCGAGGCAGAATATAAGCAGGTGGCGGAAGCAAATGCCTTGTGGCGTATGTCGACCGTCTTGTTTTATGCTGCCACGGAGGCTAAGATCCCGATGGTTCTCACCAACCCGAAAGGCCTTGATGGTTACCCCGATCCTTGGGCTGAGGATTCTGTTCGATGGGCCAGCTTGCATAGTGAAAGTCATAAGACCCATTGCCCCTTGCCCCGTTGGTGGAGCCCCGACCGCCTGCAAACGATTCTTGCCAGCACTGATCTTTCTCTGCCTCCCCTCGGCAGCAGCGCGGATGTGGATGAGTGGGCAGGGGACCGCCATCGTCATCGTTGCCGCCGTCTATCATAAGTTGACGGGGGGGGCCACGGGGCGAGACCCTTACTTGGTCACGACCGCCCATCATGCGGGGGAAGAGCCTGATGGGGGTTAATCTCTCTTCTTCTGCACGTTGCACTGTTTTTTTCCGTCGGATTGACAGCTTTGAACCACATGTCATCAGGTCGAGAGAGAGAGAGAGAGAGAGGAGGCGGAGGAGGAGGAGGAGGACAAATAGGAAGAAGAGGAAGAGGCGGGAGAGGGGCCCCGAGTGATGGGGCCCAGGGGCAGGAAAGGGCTTCCAGGTTGAAATGTGCCTGGCGCAGGGCCTCTTCGCCCTGGGGGCCCCATGTCTTAAGGTGGCAAGGCCTCGCGTTGCGCACAGACAGCCGCCCCAACTGACCTCAACAAGCCCCCTGAGTAGTTCCAGTCTGGGGAAGTCGCGGGCCTCGCCCGGGGTGCGTTCAGCCCAGGATTTATCGAGGCGAATCCAGTTGTGGCGACGAAGGCCTCCCAGGAGGACGAAGGGAGGGTAGCGGTATCTGTACTTCCTCCTCTGATCCTCGTCGTCCCGGAACAGCGAGAAGCTGGTGTCGAAGAAGAGCATGTCCGTAGGGTCCTTGTCCATCACGGAGGAGAACAGCGCCAGCCCGTCCTTGCGGAGCACCAGCCAACGCTCCTGGAGCCCGGCCCGGCGGCCGCTGTTGCCGCAGCCACGCCTGCGCCTGCAGCGGCAGTCCATGGTGCAGCAGAAGAGCGACAGGCGCTGGTAATGCGACCCCCTGGCCGGCACTTTCAACAAATAGGGCCCTGAAACATGTTCCCCCACAGACATGCTCGCGTCGTGAATAAAATGCGAGGGGATTTGTTTTAGCAACCTTCAGCCTCTGGGGGCCCTCGCCGGCGGGCCTCGGGACCGTCAAAACACGAGTCGGGATGAAAGGCCAGCCCTGGGGAAAAGGCCGCGACTCCCGGGGACTCAGTATTGAAAAAATCAGAACGGCGGATGTCTGAGGAAGATACCGCTACCCCTCCTTTGTTTTCCTTTTTTGAGACCTCCTGGGAGGCACTCGTCGCCACGGCTGGATTCGCCAGGAAATTCTGGTCAGCACGGACCTCGGGAGAGGTCCAGGGAGTAGCGGTATCGGTACATGTTGGTTTCCCTCAGAATGGGGCCCTGAGACACATGGGCCGAAGACGAGAAAACTGGACCGGCGCTGGACACCCCTGGCGGCGCCTCCAGCGCCGCTCCTGGTGCGCTCCTCGCGCCAGGGAAAAGGGTCCCGCGCCAATCTAAGAAATCCGCGCGGATATCCGAAAGTAAATGTTCATGTCGTTTCTTCTTCCTTGAGTGGGTCTTGGGGGACGAGACTCCGAAAAATGCATATCTCAACCTGGAAATCCTTTTCTGGCCCCTGGGGCCCCATCACTCAAGGCCCCCTCTTCGAGACCCCAGCCTGAAATACGCCTCCGCAGACTCGTGCCGGCGGCAGAAACAGCTGCCCTCCTTCTGCGTCTCCGAAGAGTTGTGGTACGTCGCCATGCCAAAGTTAAGGAAATTGCAGACGTCGAGGTTGCGTAGACTGTCGCCGCAGTTCATGAGCAGTTGCAGCTGCTCCCGCACCTGCTTAACGAACAACCGACCGCATAATTAAACACAATCTTTCGAAGGTCCGAATGGATTTCTTGGAACGGCGCTGGACCTGGCCCTGGCGTGCATAGCGCGGCAAGGGCGGCGCTGGGGGGAGCTGCCTGGGGTGCCAGCGCCGATCCAAGAAACCCGCGCGGAGCTTCGATCATTTATGTGTATGCAGATTTGTTTCTTCGACCTGCTCCGTCTCGTCCTTCCTCTCGAGCTGCAATATGGCCTTTGTCGGCAGGAACGACATCTCCGCCATGCCCGCGGCGAGCGCGAGCGCGGAGGCGTTCGTGCCCAAGGCAATGGCCATCGCGACGACCCAGTCTGCCACGGGCGACTCCTCCAGAGAAACAACAGAAAAGGCATAAACGTAAGCTTTCGGAGCTCCGCGCAGACTTCTTGGATCTGCGCTGGACCCCCCTCCCTGGCGCGCTGAGCACGCCAGGGGCGGCGCCCGAGGCGCCGCCAGGAGGGCCCCAACGCCGATACGGACCCCCTCCGAAAATCTATGTTTGTAGCGTTTCTTCCTCCTCGATCCTCCCCCCGGCCTGCGCCGGCCCAGAGCTCCAGGCAGGACCGGACCAGCGGGAGCACCAGCCCCGCCAGCGCCAGCGTGGCCAGCAGCCCGAGAGCCCACGGAGCGACCGCACGGAGCGTGCAGGTCAGCGTGTCTCGCAGCCACTTCTGGCCCCACCTGCCGTCGTGGCGAGGCGCCTGGAGGTCTCGGCAAATCCCGCCCAACTCTCGCTCCCAAACCAATCCCACCCTGAGACCGGGGCTTTGCAACTTTTCACGCAAGGCCTTTTCGCCCAGTTTCGGGCCCTGGGGTCCTCACACATCGATCCGGCTTGAGAAATGCCGCAGAAGGATAGGGTCTGGGGCTCTGGTCGTGATTCTTGACGATGCTGCTGTCTCTTCGCGACGTCGGGTCTCAGGGCAGGAGGTTCTCCTGGACGCCGTGCGGTCCCAGCTCTCCGGGCTGCGTCCAGCCAAGGCCACGGGGAGCCCCTCCCCCGAGGCCAGGAGGTGCCAAAAACCTGAAGAAGCACCCTCCTCTCACTGTCCGCTATCCGCCGCTGCTGTCCGCTATCCGCCGATGCGATTTTCTCAGCCCGCGGCCCCAGAGGCCCAAATCGAGGAAACAGAAGCCCCCGACCGCTTCCCAGGGGGTAGTTTTTTCGTCCTGGGTCGGGCTTCTACTGACCCCGGCCAATGCAAACCCGGGTCAGTCAGGCTTTGCAGGACCCTGCAAAAATCCTGCAGGATCTTACGCCCTAACCGGGGTCAATGCACCCCTGGCTTCGCAGGATCCTGCAAAATCCGGCGCCCTGGCTGACCCCCGTTTGCATTGACCCCCGCCTCCAGGCTCCCGTCTGGGCTCTTTTTTGATTGCCCTGGGGCCCGAGAGTGGGCCCCAGAGGCCTAACTCGAGGAACCACGCCCTGACGGAAGAGCTACCACAGCGTCGGATACCTGGGCCCACGTCGCCTCCTTGCGCGCCCTGTCGAGGTGGCACCACTTGGTGGCGTGGGACACCCTGGCCAAGATCAGTCAGCACCGCATCGGGACATCGGGTCGGATCGGATCGGAGCGTGTATCTCATCGGGCCACCTCGGCACGGAGTCGGAGTCGAATTGAATCGGCCGCGCCAAACTGGACATCAACGCCGTGCAAACATCGGGCCGCATCGGATCGTCGGAATATCGAAATCGAATCGGGTCGGGCGAGCCGACGTCGGTATCGAATCGGATCGACAGGATCGAAGTGCACCCTGCCTGGCGCGCACGACCGCCTCGACCAGGTCGTCGAAGGTGAACGGCTCCGTCTGCCAGGCGTGCTCGAACTCCTCCGCGGCAAGCTGCAGTGTGGCCCTGCTCGCACGAGGGGTGGAAGGGGGAGGGGCAACGTCAATCCCCATCGTCGTCGTCCTCTTGCTTTCCTCCTAGTACGTCCCTCGTATTCTTCCCCCTTCTCCTTCCTCTTCTTTGCCGCCTCCTCCTCCTCCTCCTCCTCCTCCTCCTCCTCCTCCTCCTCGTCGAGACATCCGCCCGCTCCATTTTTTTGATTTTTTGGATGCGTGGGCCCCAGAAGTCTGGACCACTTCCCCAGGGCTACTTTTGCGCCCCGAATAGTTATCCGACACCCCCCAAGCCCAGCGAAGGCCACCGGAGGCCGAAAACGGCCCCAAACCCGTCGCTCCGATTTTTCTGGAGCGTCGGATCTCTGGACCTCCTCCTCCTCCTCCTCCTCCTCCTCCGCCCACATATTGCTCCTCGATCTTTACTCCAGCCTCTTCCCCGTGCTGGTCTTTGGACACATGGGTCCCTGCACCTCTCGACCGAAAGGCAACGCCAGGGGGGGGACTTGCTCAAGGGGGGGGGCGGCACCGAGCTGGAAACGGCGATGCAACCCAGAGATCGATTCACCGCGCGGCCACGCGTCATCGGTGCCTGGCTGCGGGGACGGGGGACGCCCCGTTTCCGCACGCCGCTTAGCGGCCGAGCCCTTGTCCCCTGGCCGCCAAAGCTTTGCCGACATGGGTCCTTTCACCGCGGGGCGCCGAGGGACGCGGCGCATCGCCTGCTCAGCGCCCCACCTTTTACCGTAGTCGCTTTGCGCCTCGCGGGTGGTTGTGTCAACGTCCCCCGTACCCCAAGGTGGGCACCATCGCTAAGCGTGCATTGGCGGCCCTGGCCACCGCAGTAGCCGGCTGCGACGGGACGCCCGTCTGTTTGTCCGATCTCTAGGTCTCTCTGTCTCTCTTTCTTTTTCTCTATAGCTTCTTTCTTTACTTCTCTCTCTCTCTCTTTGTTGCTTCTCTCTCCCTCTCTTTTTCTTGTTTTCTCTCTCTCTCTCTCTATTTCTTTCTTCTCTCCTCTCTCTCTCTCTCTTTCTCTCCTCTCTGTCTCTGTCTCTGTCTCTCCTCCTCTCTCCTCTCTCCCCTCCCTCTCTCTGACCGTCCTCCATGACTCGATGAAAATCGCTCGCCAGACTGCCAAAACCGCGGGCGTCGCCCGGGAAGCCCCTGCCTGCGTCGCGCCAGTGCCCCAGCTGCCCCTCCTCCACCGCTGTGCCCGCGTCTGCGGCGCCCTCTCTGGCGGGCCTGGCGCCCGGGCGCGACGTCGCATCCGCGGCGGCGCGGGTCTGCCCTGACTCCGGCGGCGTGAGCCGAGCCGACGGGAGCGACGGCCTCCCACCCGCTCTCCCGCTTCCGCCCGGGTCAGCGTCGACGCTGTTCCTGTTGAGCGTGCTGGCGGGTTGCCCGTTTGCGGCGTTCCACCGCGCCTCGGTCTGCCCGCCCGCTCGGCGCCAGACCTGCCCCGCGCTATCGATGACGTTGTGCTTCTCGGGCATCTCGCCGAGCACCGTGACGAGCGTGCTACTGGGGCGGTGCTACGCGAGTTCCTAGCTGGGCAGAGCGGTTCGCGTCGCCTCCCGGCTTGCTTCGCGCCGGACGTGAATGGCAGCGTGCGCTTTCGCCGTGGCCGCTTCCGCCCCCGTGTTCTCGAGTGCGCTTGGCGGGGCAGCCGCGGCCATTGCCTCCGCCGGGGCTGGGGGCGTCGGCGGTCGCGCGCGCGCGCGCCGTGCAGGCGGTTCCACGTCTTCGCGTCCTGGAGCCGATTCTTCATAACTGTGTTTGCAGCGGCGCGCCAGTGCAGCAGCCCTTGTGCGAGCTTCCACAGGCCCTGCCGCCGCTGGACATCCGTTCAAACTTGTGCGCCGCGTTGAACGCGAGCCGCGCGGTGTGCTGCGCGCTGAACGCCCGCGTCAACTCCGCTGGTGCGCGCCCGTCCAACCTTCCCGGCGCTCCCCCCCGCGGTCGCGCGCCATGGCGCCGTCGCCGTGTTCTCCGAGCTCTCCGGCCCGCATTCCCGCGCGAACCGCGTGACCTCCGTAGACTCGGTCGCCGCGCTCTCGCGCTCGAGCAAGGAATTCTTAGCGAGGCCCGAAATGACCAATGACACCGCGCCACCGCGCATCTCGCAAGACGTGAATGGCAGCGTGCGCTTTCGCCGTGGCCGCTTCCGCCCCCGTGTTCTCGAGTGCGCTTGGCGGGGCAGCCGCGGCCATTGCCTCCGCCGGGGCTGGGGGCGTCGGCGGTCGCGCGCGCGCGCGCCGTGCAGGCGGTTCCACGTCTTCGCGTCCTGGAGCCGATTCTTCATAACTGTGTTTGCAGCGGCGCGCCAGTGCAGCAGCCCTTGTGCGAGCTTCCACAGGCCCTGCCGCCGCTGGACATCCGTTCAAACTTGTGCGCCGCGTTGAACGCGAGCCGCGCGGTGTGCTGCGCGCTGAACGCCCGCGTCAACTCCGCTGGTGCGCGCCCGTCCAACCTTCCCGGCGCTCCCCCCCGCGGTCGCGCGCCATGGCGCCGTCGCCGTGTTCTCCGAGCTCTCCGGCCCGCATTCCCGCGCGAACCGCGTGACCTCCGTAGACTCGGTCGCCGCGCTCTCGCGCTCGAGCAAGGAATTCTTAGCGAGGCCCGAAATGACCAATGACACCGCGCCACCGCGCATCTCGCAATCAATTGCACCATCGCGCACGCGGAGAGGTGAAGGTAGAAAATGCAAAGTGCCGTCTTCGAGAGGCGCCGCGGCGCGCGTCGAGTTCACGCCGGAGGGCTTTTCAATGAACCCGAGCGCCTGGCCAAGTGGCGCGAGTGGAGCGCCTCGGTTTCCTGGTGCCGCGCGCCGCTCTCTTGGCCGTCCAGCGTCGACTGTAGCCCCGCGTCGCTGAACACATGCTCGAAGAAATTATGTATCGTCGGGTTCGCGCCATCTGGCCCGATGACGAGCCCCGCGTCGCGCGCCGCCGCCTCGACCCAGGGTTGGCCGCCCTCGAAGCGCCCCATCATTTCCTGCGAACTGGGCGCGCGACTGCTGCCTGGCAAGCGATGGCAAGCAAGCTTATGACTCGCGCCTCGGTGCGCGGCGCAGGGCGCCGGAAGCGCTTTGTTTGAAATCGCCGCGAGCGCCGCGTGCCCGCTCTGTGCTCCTCAACAACGCTGCCCGAATTTCACTATCTGCACGACTCCCATCGCGTTCCCCCGCCGCTCCGTGCTCTCTCCCCCCTAGATCGCGGCAGCTACTTCTTGCCGCGGCGCCCCGGCATCGCGGCGCCCCTGCCAGCGCCGCGGCGGGTCCGCGACGTCAGCCGAATCCCGTCGCAGCCGTCCTGGGCTGCGCGCGCGGCTCGCAAGCCCATGGGCCGCGAAAGCGCGCCCGCGTGCGCCCGTGAACACTGCGCCGCGCGCCAGAGAGACTGCGCGGACCTAGATCCGCCCGCGCCGCGCGCTGCGTGCCTGTCGAGCCAGACCCCTTGCCGGCATCTCTCCATCTGCTCGGCGCGCCGCGCGCTGCGTCGCGGGGGGGGGCCTCTCCCTTCTCTTCTACTCCGCTGCCCCTTCCGAAGCTCGGCCCTTTGCTTCCCTCGACGCCGCGCGCGCGCGCCCCTGCGCGCGCGGCCTGGCGCCCCGTGTCGCCCGCCTTGCGCGCGTGCCTGCTCCGCGGCATCCTCGTGCGCGTGCGTTCAGTCCGGGTGCCGGTCGCGCCTGGACTCGCTACCGCCGCGCGCGAGCGCTGTGCGCCCTGGTCGCCGCAGGGCGCGGTGCTGGCGGCGCTCCCGGGGGCAGCGCCGCCGGCGCCGACAGGGCCCCGCATCGGCCGCCGCGCGGCGCGCGTCGCGCTCCGGAGCCAAGTGCTGCAGCAGCGTTGCTTCAATCTGCGCTGCGCGTGTTCCGCGTGCAGCTGCAAACAGAGAGGCGAGCGTCAGCTGCGTCTCCCACCGCTTCGGGGGGCCTCCTGCGCTGCTGGGCAGCTTCGACGTCCAGGCGTTCTCGGACGGCGCATTCAAACGCGCCGACACGACCTCCCAGGTGCATAAACGTAGACTCTCGGATTGAGAGGTTGCGAGAATGAAAGATTGCAGATCATTTCAAATGTCCAACCTTTCGAAATATCATTCGATCTTTCAGTGTTTCAATGGCCCCACCCGGATTGAAAGACTTCCCAATATTTCAATCGTTCAGTCTGGCGCCCCCAGATTAAACGATTCTTCAATCTTTCAATCTGGGACGCCCAGGATGAAAT